CTAATACTCATAACGATATAGAAAGAAATCAAGATATGATATATATCGACTCACCACACCACTAACACATAGACAATTTACTTATATAGGATATAAAAAGTCACTAAAAACATACACTGCACCCCGAGCTAACGAATTTACGCTAGAATATTACGATCATAACATCACCCGAACTAACCAAGACCAATTTTTAGATGATGATCGCTTCGCTAACCCACAACTAACAGAAAAATTCTTCATCAAAACACCATATGTATTTACACTCAATATATTTGATCGAAAATTTGATCATATCATTTCTGAAGCACTAACCGACATGCAAGCTTACGAAAGTTTTAAAGAAAAATTTCAATTATTTTCACTAACCTTCCACTTCCTTGCACCACATGAACGCGATTTGCACTGCTCACACGACATTATGTTACGCACTAACCAAACCCACACATATACATATTATCGCTTCATACAAAATCATTTTGATCTTCACACTCCATCAAGACAACCACACCACCGTTATCAGTTTCTTAACTCTAAATACACTTCACCATTTTTTCTTAATTTCACATATTGCATCAAAGATACTAACCTTCACGGTATCCCATAACCCAAATGTATATATTTTGTCCCATCACGAAGACCCTTAACGCAGAAGAATCCAGACCCTTCCTTATCCCACACGAATTTATCCAACCTATAGAAATCCCAAAATTAGAATTCATCCACAACACTAAATACAATCACAAATTATATAACCTCATTCAAAACACACCTTATGAGTTTGCAGTTGGCACTGAAGAACTAAAAACTATTAAAGCACTTCAATTGCTTTGGCCACTGCTTCAAACTAAAAACATCATTCGCATACTAGCAAAATTACTAACAAACTCCGACATAATACACGACATCTTTCCCCACGGTTTTTTCCCAGACGATTAACAAGTAAGTATAATTTATACATATTTTCCACTAATAAATTTAAAATAAAAACTAACCATTTTTTACCCATGTTACATTTAGATCTTTAGCCTTCATACCAGGATCATCTGAAGAAACAGAAAAGCAAAATAAAAAATAAACCTGTTAAAATTCTTCACTTCACTAATATTTTCCACAAGATAAACTGATAAAATTTATACCAAATGTAGTAAATTGATTTATAAATTGTTTCCCCAAAAGCAGTAAATTTCATAAAAATTGAAAATTTGTAATTTAATTTTTCCCCAAAACTGGCAGTAAAATTAAAATTCTATGTAGTAAATTGATAAAACGAAAATGCAGTACTAACCTTTTGATATTTTCATTCACTCGCACAAGAATTCTATCCAAACTCGCACAGCTCGCCCACGAAGAATTGTTTAAATAATGAATTTCAGTTTCAAGTTTTCACACTCAACAACTCTAACACACGATAACAAGTTTCAAACTTTCCTTTAACCCGGTTGGAAAGGATTTATATACTAAACAAAACTAACCAACGCAGCTTACTAAACACCACAAATCATAGAATAACAGCATGACTAAGAAAAGAAACATCATATTATCATTTTACTAATCCCCTTTGCCTACCATTATCTAATACTCATAACGATATAGAAAGAAATCAAGATATGCTATATCGACTCACCACACCACTAACACATAGACAATTTACTTATATAGGATATAAAAAGTCATTAAAAACATACACTGCACCCCGAGCTAACGAATTTACGCTAGAATATTACGATCATAACATCATCCGAACTAACCAAGACCAATTTTTAGATGATGATCGCTTCGCTAACCCACAACTAACAGAAAAATTCTTCATCAAAACACCATATGTATTTACACTCAATATATTTGATCGAAAATTTGATCACATCATTTCTGAAGCACTAACCGACATGCAAGCTTACGAAAGTTTTAAAGAAAAATTTCAATTATTTTCACTAACCTTCCACTTCCTTGCACCACATGAACGCGATTTGCACTGCTCACACGACATTATGTTACGCACTAACCAAACCCACACATATACATATTATCGCTTCATACAAAATCATTTTGATCTTCACACTCCATCAAGACAACCACACCACCGTTATCAGTTTCTTAACTCTAAATACACTTCACCATTTTTTCTTAATTTCACATATTGCATCAAAGATACTAACCTTCACGGTATCCTCCGCAATTATGGTCCCATAACCCAAATGTATATATTTTGTCCCATCACGAAGACCCTTAACGCAGAAGAATCCAGACCCTTCCTTATCCCACACGAATTTATCCAACCTATAGAAATCCCAATATTAGAATTCATCCACAACACTAAATACAATCACAAATTATATAACCTCATTCAAAACACACCTTATGAGTTTGCAGTTGGCACTGAAGAACTAAAAACTATTAAAACACTTCAATTGCTTTGGCTACTGCTTCAAACTAAAAACATCATTCGCATACTAGCAAAATTACTAACAAACTCCGACATAATACACGACATCTTTCCCCACGGTTTTTTCCCAGACGATTAACAAGTAAGTATAATTTATACATATTTTCCACTAATAAATTTAAAATAAAAACTAACCATTTTTTACCCATGTTTCATTTAGATCTTTAGCCTTCATACCAGGATCATCTGAAGAAACAAAAAAGCAAAATAAAAAATAAACTTGTTAAAATTCTTCACTTCACTAATATTTTCCACAAGATAAACTGATAAAAATTATACCAAATGTAGTAAATTGATTTATAAATTGTTTCCCCAAAAGCAGTAAATTTCATAAAAAATGAAAATTTGTAATTTAATTTTTCCCCAAAACTGGCAGTAAAATTAAAATTCTATGTAGTAAATTGATAAAACGAAAATGCAGTACTAACCTTTTGATATTTTCATTCACTCGCACAAGAATTCTATCCAAACTCGCACAGCTCGCCCACGAAGAATTGTTTAAATAATGAATTTCAGTTTCAAGTTTTCACACTCAACAACTCTAACACACGATAACAAGTTTCAAACTTTCCTTTAACCCGGTTGGAAAGGAATTATATACTAAACAAAACTAACCAACGCAGCTTACTAAACACCACAAATCATAGAATAACAGCATGGCTAAGAAAAGAAAACCAACGGTACCCAAACCGGATTAACCCAGTTTAAAACTGGATAATTTATTCTTTTGAAGACTATTATAAAGTCTAGGAAAGAAGTAATAAAACACAAAAAAGTCGAAAGACAAACCCATACCAAAAACAATTTGATTTTTGAAAACAGGACACAACCAACGAAACATAAGAAAAACCACCACAAACCCGACATAAAACGTTATCACATAACAGGACCTCTCACAGAAACCGCACGAAATCATACTCCCACTCCTGGCCTAACCCACCAAAGAGGACGTCCTGAGCAGGCTCTATAGCCGGACTAACCCACCGCGCTACATCCACGCTTTGTGACCACACTTCTATTTTTAATAAGAGGTACTCAAGGGTGAGTAACTCTTCAAAATAACCGAACTAAAACAAAATGCTTTTGTGAAAACAACTAACCAAAATCATAATTAAAACACTGAACTAATTAAAATTTTATAAAATGTAAATTATACCTTGCAGTATATAGATCAGCATACAACAACAAAGACGAACATCCAAAGACAAAATGACCCCACTACACTCGAAAAAGAATGGCCAACCACAACCAATATGCCGTCCACAATCACAACTCAACGACTTGAGTACGATTTAGAGTACGACTTGACTTCGCAGAAAAGGACTTCATTGAACTAGACCAATGACCACCTCGATGTTCAAGTATACGTACAGATCCGAGTTACAAGGCATCCCCTCCACGCACAATCTCCACGCCATTCCCAGACGAGGTCGAACACAAAAGAAGTTCTCTACATAAAACAGAAAAACCCGTCATAGCAAACCATTCTGAAATCAGATTGATTTCATTGGGAAACACCGTCGTTGTCACGAGAAGACACAACGATCGATATCCCTCATTCCAGCGTCCTGGAACTTCTCTAACAAGAGAAACCGGACAAGAAGATGATGTTCGCCAAATACCAACGTCCATCATCCATCCTTTGAATTGCAGAAAGATAATTCTAAAAACTCTGTAAAACCCGGATGGGTGGAACCTGATCTAAACTATATTTTATGATTGGATAAATTAGATATTTTACCACTGTAAAGTATTTAATATTAACCAATCATGATCCATCTAACTAACAACCCACTTATTTGTAAGTGCTGAAATTACTTGTAATTTCAGCACCAGAGAGAGATTTGAATTTAACTTAGAAATTAGTTGCCTCTCCAAGAGAACTTCAGCAGCCGCAATAAACCAGTATACCCTAGATCTATTGAGCCTAGCAGAGACTAGTTAAACAACCTGAGACTAGATAGTATAAGAGTAAGATTAGGATCGGTATTAGACTAAGAAGTTGCACGAATCTATCCGGCCGAAAATAAGATAGCGTGACGAGCAGACGGTGTACCCTATCCGAAATTACTCTATGAGTTAACCACATCGGTCCTAACTCAGAATTTTAACAGAAAGCGATGCAGCTATTGAAGTTGAACCTACCACCTATTGTAATATATCACCGAAAACTTGATTTGGGTTCTTGAGACTTTGACTTGATATGAATTTACTTTGAGGCTGAAAATTAATTCCGAATCCGAAGTTGCTTCCTGCAGAACGTACCAGAGGGCACTCGTATACAATAGGTGAAGCATCAGAAAAGTTATGCGTACTTAATTTTATATCGGGAAAACGAAAAGAAGCTTCTATCAAAGCCTCAAAATGTAATAGAAATTATGCAACCACAGTTATTCAAGAAGACTGAAGTAAATGTTTATCTTCAATGCACAATATCAATTAAAATGAAGATTAGAAGGGGAGTGAATATGAAAACAATTAAACACAAGCAATATCAACTATGGTCGGTTTTTTACACTCTTTCATTGACATGATAAAGCGTTGAGCTTCTACTCACCAGAACTTCGGTTGACTGAGACTCCACATCTGACCGTGGACTACAACCAACACACAGCACCTGTGGCAGAAGTCAAAGAGAACAGGAGCCGCCCAATGGAGTCCCTCTTGGACTGGACAGTGGAGGGAGAGCACTCGTTCGGAAAGGGGTTCCATCAGACTCTCACGCACCTGCAGAGGCGATGATCTGCAACAAGTCAAACCCATTGATTAACAATAGCTGCGACAATTAGATATACAACCCTCTCCTTAGGAATTGAGATAGAGAATCTGACATGCATTCAGATGATTTTGTTTCACCTAGCCGCTAAATTTTGTTCTAGCCGTCTATCCTCAAGCCAGATTTAGCTACTGTTAGCTTGCTACGAAATGGGCATCATAGGTCGAGAGGTCAAATCCGCACATTAAAAGTAAAATCTCAAATCAACTAAAAATTAGTTCTTTTTTGAACCATTCGTACGTACGAAAGCTTTGACAAGCGCAGTATTTTTGACGTCTACCTTGTTCAGTAACTCAAGTTGGGATCTAACTTACTTGGCGACTCGGTGTGCCACTCCCCACAACGTCAACTTCAATTTGATTGGCGTATTGTTAGCACTCTCAATTGGCTGAAACGTAGAAAAAAATATCACTTTCATCTTTAAATATAATTCATGCGAAATCTCGTCTACAGGACAGTACAACAATTTCATTGTCATCAAGTTAGTTTGACGAATTTCAGCGCTTTCGCCGCTATTATTGGACTGCTTCCCATTTGGTTATTATTTCATTAAAATTCACGTTTGAATTTAAAAATTTCTTCAACATTATCAGATTTTGAAGTAATTCATGGGAAAACTGATGTTTGAAGCATACCTGTCTGGGGTCAACTAGAAAGGTCACTTGTATGTTGAACAGTTCATCTAACGAATGGCGACTGTGTTTGAACTCTATTTCCAGAGTCTTGCTCAGTCCCACTTGATTGGAACGCACCTCTGGTTTAACGGCATATTCTACAAAAAAAACTTGCAAGTTCAATCTGTCCAGATTGAGATCAAATGTGAGCCTTCAAAACAATCTATTGGGTTTACTTTATTAGTTTTTATCGCACTTTCGATATATTCATCATATATGCTTTTTCTCCAAAATCCTTAAGGTCTTTCTTTTTGACTTTCACATCGATTTTCACAAAATATAAGTATTCCAAAAGTTCAATTCATACGAACTAAATTCAATTTATCAGAATTAATAGCGGAGTCGTGAGGTAAACTATATTCATCACTTACAGTGATGATATGCTTACCATTCCTGGAAACACTTTGTACGAATGCCTTCAACCTCTCATTGGGTTCGACTTCAACTGCGATTCGATAGTCCCTGAGAAACAAAAACGAAACTAAACTGCACATTAGCTACTGTAAAAGCTTGCACCAAACGTCACGCTACCATACTGATGACTAAAACTTTTCCGGAAAATTCAGCAGTTAAAATATGAATGTTTTGTATGCATCAATTTGTAGAAGTAGACTAACCCTTTGCTGAGAAGATCCACATTAATGAACTTAACCAGCTCAATAGAGAGATCCACTGTTGCCTCCAGTAAGTCCATGCTCCACCAACTGAGCTTCAGAAACAGACGGTCGGTTTATTTTGAGGTTTTTTAGAGGGTTGTCGATCGGAAACTGAACATAATTTCTTATAGAGACTGCTGTCTTAGATGCTCCATTAACTCGGCGATAACAGAATAGCCAGTGACGTTAATTAAAGAGTAGATTTTAGAAAGCAGTCTACTTTAAATGCCAAAGAAGGAATGGTAAATTGAAACCGTTAGCAGAATCAAATTTGATACCACACTTCTTGTAGTTCTTGAAAAGTGTGCTTAGCGCTCAGGTAGCTGCTAATAAGATCGATTTTAGTACTTTCACTGAAGGGGAATTGAGTGAATCTTTTCATCGATTTTCTCTGCTTCCATTCGCCTCAAATCAATCAGAAAACACAGTCATATAAAAGTATACAGTTGCGATTCTATATACCGCGCTGGGACTCCCTCTCGTTCAAATCATTATTTGTTTGCGACGAATTTAATGTAAAGTTATTACAATTCTGAGAAGCATATATTGATGTCATTTGCCAACTGATTGTTCATGCATATATACTCTGAAACGAAAATACCATGTATCTCACAAATACCAATTGTTAGAAAAATTCAGAGCTAGTAGGAAATCTGGGTTCATCAAAAAAGCTGTCTTTCTGAATACTCGATAGGAAAAATGCAATTGAAGTTACACTTCGCCTACAAATGCTGTTGGAATTACGACGGATAGAGTTTTAATATGATTTGTCATTCGATCGAATCGGAAAATTATTTGTAGCAATTGTATTTGCGACAAAAAACGTTTTCAAGTAGCTCCTTCTCTAATTTGGTGGCCAGAGCAATTACATGACTGTTGATTCCTCGCATTAGCTGGGGATAAGAACACAAAATAAACAAAACGGCGAATAGAACAGGAAGCATTGCAATTTTACGAATAAAAAACGAGATGGAAACCAGAAATTAGACAAAAACCTTGAGCATCTGTATACTGATCTTCAATTTCAAGAAATCTGTGCATTGAAAGCCAATTTCGTTTTCTTCAACGATCCTTCATCTCTAGAGCAGATGAAGGTTTTTGGAGGTTGCTTCGTCTCGACCACAGTCCAGTGTCATTGGCCCAAGACGGGATATTTCGGGCATACCACATTTGTGAGTTGCTTGAACTTAGTTTTGACACATGACTTCGTCTAAATGAGTCTTTCGTTTTGGTTCGCTGTTATGAGGCCAGCATCCTCCGGCCTGCTAATGCATGAAGAAAGTTTAGCTCTGACGTTCCACCGTGCTATATGAGCTAAAGAAATTCAGAGGGGGTCAGTCCAGAGACTGAGGACGTCTAGATCTGTCATGTTTTTTTTGTTTTTTTTTATTTGCCCCCGGCCTGCTCAGTGCAGGACCAACCGTGGGGGAGGGGGAGATGTCATCCATTTTGCCGCAGCCGGTCCCACCTTGAGGAGGCGGATGACACTGGGATCCAGCCGTGACCGAAGCGGGATTCGAACGCATGACCCTCGTGTTAAGAGAGATGTGCCTAACCCACTTGACCACTTGCATCGACAGTTAAATAAACGATAGACATCAATATGACCTTGACTACAAATTCCAAAGACATTCAGGATTTAAGGGTATAACCTACTCAGATAATTATTCAGAAAAGGAGAGTACTGATCGAAGCTGAGCAAGTTTTGAGCAAGCGTTGTCCCGATGAAACAAGGTTTGTGGTGTTGGCTTGAGTGTTATCGTGCTGTTACTTACTGATGTTTCATGATCGGCTCAACTGGGAAGATAACTGCCAAATTGGAAGTGTTTTGAGAGCATTCCGTTGTGCTCACGAATTAGTAGAACTTCTGTTTCATTATACAGGTGGTCTATACTTGTCATTCTTACACAGCCAGTGACAGTTCCAAGCACATCATTTTGTTTCACTCGCTCCGAAAAAGAGCATGCTGTTGAATATAACACCCATGAGTTTAAGATTTTTAAATGTTTTTGGTGTTTTAGGTGATAAGACCTATCATCAAACTAGTTTGAAAATTTCCCTCAGCAGATATGGTAAAAATGTGGCCATAGATTCATTATCAGGAGAAAGATTATGATGCCTACCTATGAGCCATGTTTGTAGTTGTTCCAAGTATGCGTTAATGGGGTGTGTAATACCGATGCATTGGGCCCATACAACAGAAGTGAAAGGTCATCTGCATAGGTGACTTTTAACGTTGTCACTAGGTTGTGGCATGGAGCCCATTAACAGGTTAAGGATAGCCGGTGAGAGAGCACAACATTTTGGGACTGCTTGTTTCACTTTACACTTTCTTGATGCCTGATTTTTAAGCCCGACGTATATGAAGATGCCTTGTAAATATGAGAGCAGCCATGATTTTGTGTTGTTAGTAAGGGAGGTACTAAATATTTCATACAGAAAAACTCGGGAGTTAACCGTATCAAATGCGGTGGTAAGGTCTAAAGCAACAAGTAGCGTTATATGGCAAGGTTTCCTCAATTAAGGCCCTAAAAAACTTTGCGGTTGATACGATGTATTTGATTGATACAATTACAGAACTGAAAGGATCTTACAGGTTCTTTTACCGGGTTTTTGTAGAGAGATAACTCGACAGACCGTCCAGTTATGTGGGATGCTTGCGTTGTTTAGTGATGAGCTAACAACGTTGTTGATGTATGCAACGGCAACCATTCCAAGGCAATGAACGTGAAACGATGTAATCTTATCAGGATCCAGAGTCTTACTCTTGTTATTTCATTTAATTGCAGTTTTTACTTCTTCGGCCGAGGGGAACTTCCCTTTCAAGGGGAGTTTTCTTATAAGCGTACGATAAAAAAACTCCCCTTTTTTGTCGGGTTTATTTAAATAGGGATGTATTGTTCGTTGAAGCACACCTTAGCATCATAGAATGGCGGGCCATCAAAAAAATAATATGTTTGTTTGATGTCTTGTGTGGATTTTGTCCGAATAGTGATTTAATGGTCGAGCAAAACTTGCTGGATTGTGCTCTGCGGTCCAATTTTCCAGGAAGTCTTGGTCATGGTGCTGCGCTGATGATGCCTAAAACGTTTTTCATCCTTAAAACGATTGCCTGAGAATTGAGCTTTTAGAAAAAATTCTTCTATTTCCGAGCGGAATTTCAACAAAACTGCTTTCCTGAAGAAAACGTAGGCTCCATTTTCGATGTAGCAGGTGAGGTTTATGGTGATAGGGACATGAACAGAAGCCAAGTCAAGTGCTAGTTCAGTGTTCTAAATGTACTCATTACCAGATCTGGTATAACAAGTGTGTTGTCTGCTGAGCTTGTCATTTAACACAATGAAGTCTGATTCTCCAATTTCGCTCGCAAATTTATCCCTTCTTTGGTCTAGGCTTATACGAGAGTACGAGATCTCATTGTGTGCGCTATTGTGACCATCAATTAGAGAAGATTTCAGGTGTAGTAGGTAATTTACGCAGGCTTAAAACCTGTGGTTCAGTTTGAGTTTGATAGAAAGTATGTTTATCGATTTAGGAATGAGTTGCCTGATTCAATTTGAGTTTCCTGGTGTTCGGAGTAGTTGTCGGATGTTGGCCGTGAGGGTGGGGAAAGTTTGCGGCATTTAACGTTTTCAACAATGATGAAGGCAAGACCTCCGCCTTTGCCACGCTCCCTAGTCATACACTACATGAAAATAAACTGCATCAAAATAGCATCTATATAACAAACAATCCTTAATGCGGCGTTAGAATACCCTTATAGCCTATTTTGATGAAGTTCGGTTTAATGTAGTGTATGATTCCGTCATTTAAGCAAAAAAAATGGGTGGTTCTGACAAAAATTTGTAAATATAATTTAATTGTATAACAAAAAACAAAAAACGTTTTTTATTAGTTTATGAAATCTGGATTGTAAATATTGCTCGGATCAGCAACATTGCCACTCATTCCTTGCTGGTCCTGTTGAACGTGTACCTGCTGTCGTTGGGGCGTAGCATAAGCAACTTGATGAGACTGCATTCCCCCCGGATTCGAACCTTAAGCGCAAAGAAAACCAAGTTTATTTAATTTTCATTTAAGATCATAACTCAATATTACTCATATTTTCATTTTGCATGATTTCAGAAAAACTCATACAGGCTTTCAGTTCCTCTTATGGTTCATTTCGGTAGCTTAAAAAAAATCAATATACTTTCTCCAAAAATATTGGGCTGCAACACAACCCAAAAATCAAAATTTTTTAAGCCTTGAGCTCGATATAATATTTAAAATAAAACAACATCAGTAGCGTGCCGAGGTGAGGGCAACGTCCCCCCCCTCAATTCTGGTTGCCAACTTTTTTCCCAAAGGGTCTTCCCTTTGGTATAATTTTACAAAATCCATTTTTGGCAGGCCAACCTCAAAAAGGCTCGAACATTTTCAAAAATTTGTCTGTGGCGTAGAAATTATTTTGACAAAATAGGGTCCTTTAAATATTTTCGTAGTGCTCGGAAAATCACTTTTTTTTGAAAAACCACCCCATCTAGAAAAAATTTTGCGCACGCCAGTGAACAACATATATGCTAAACATGGAAAAATGGGATGAGAACTTAATTGATCTTTTTTCAAAGCCTTTAAAACCCTCTTTTGCATAAAAGACATTACTAGACAGGCATTGAAGCTCCATATGTAAGCGCGGTTAAAATACATGGACTAAGAATTCTTCGAAATAAAATAGCAAAAAAAATCAAGAAGAACTATAAATGAGGACCAGATGAACCTGAAAACCAAAATTTCAAGATTTTCTCGCAAAAAAAGTTTTAGAAATGCATTTGCACTTACTATTATAAGGTATTCTTATTTGCAAACAATTCACTGCTATAAATCACATAGAGGAATTTCACACACAGGGGCAAAAAACGGCAACAGCTCTAAAAAGAAGCAAAGAAAAACTACCAGAAAAAATTTGCCTGAAAACATCCACACCTCCCAAATAAAAAAACCTTAGAACTCAAGAGCTCGAAACTTGACTAGACAGACAACTTCTTTGTATAATTTCTTTATATATGTTAATTTTACGCGTTTTTGATTCTTGTAGACAAGACAGTATTTTATAATTATTTCTAGCAAACTAATATTCTATCGTTGAAAATTTGAATTCATTTCAGTTATATTTGATAGTTAGAATCGCTTCTAAGTATATTTTCAAATTCTATATGATAACTTCAATAAACTCAGAAAAATTTAGTTTTTAAGTTAGACGATTGATGGTTGAAACAATCGATTCAGTTTTGAGATAACGAGTCACTTCAAATGATAAATTGAAATGACCCACAAATACGATAAACATTGATTGAATTCTTTGTTTTTAATAGCTTTAACCGATTCATTCGACCTAATTTTGAAGTATCTCGATCCAGTCATAGTGTCACTTTTTACAAAAGCAATATTTTCAAGCAAATAATGGAACTTCGATAGCTGAAACCGAATCTTATGTATTTAATATTCAGTCATTCGAGTCAACTATTGTTGTTCAAATGTATCAAACATTTCACGAAAACAAAAACATAGCCAACTGACAGTTGGAAAAAAGTAATGAACGCACGCAAGGAAACTGAAGAAAAAAAAAACTGACTTGTTGAATTCCGAAGACAAAAAACTTTTGAATTGCGAAGACATAATAGATCGCCTTAAGGCTCTTTGAAATAGAAGAAAAATTTATGATGGACACTTCTGGTTAAAATTGACCCAATTTGAGAAAACTGGATCAATAGACAAAACTTTTATTTCGCTGGGAAATCTGATAATTAATTTCCATTTTTGAAATTAGAAGTTGATAACGTTTTTCGTGACCTTTACACTTTTGCTGTTCGATAGTGGAGTTTGCCTTCCTTTCAACAGTGGAAATGCACTGAACTCGAAAAGAAATCACAAGTCAAACCGCGAAAGATCAAAACTGAGCGTGAACAAATTTTATGACTTTTTCCTTTATAATTTTATTTTGGCTGGGAAATCTGATAACTAATTTCTATTTTCGAAATTAGAAGTCCATCACGTTTTTCGTGACCTTTAAACTTTTGCTGTTCGATAAGGGAGTTTGCCTTCCTTTAAACAATGGAAATGCACTGAACTCGAAAAGAAATCAGAAGTCAAACCGCAAAAAAAATCAAAATTGAGCGTGAACAAATTTTATGACTTTTTCCTGAAAAAAATTCAGCAAGACCTATATAAGAGTACTGACTACGTTCATTACTCTTTAAAATCAAGCGAACAATTTAAAGGTTGAAAAAGAATTATTTCAATTAAGACTTTCACTCTGAAAGTATTATTCCAGAAAAACAACAAAGATTTTTATTCTAATTGAACTTTGAATTGTTTAACGTTAAAAATGACGGATAAATTGAGCAATCTCCCCCCCCCCATTCTCGCGAGGGGGAGATAGCTCAATAGATACTTGAGACATGTTTCTAACCATTTCAAAATTGTTTGAATGATATCAAATCATAAATCAGTTTCTTAAACTACAGTGGAACGCCAAAATTTACACTATGAAAAATCAAAAATTACATTCAGAGTGAAAAAAGAATCAATAAAACTAAGGCGACTTGGGTCGCATAAAGCGCATTTTTTCTCTCCTAAATGAAAAAAAAAGCTATTTTAATGTGCTGCGGAGAACAGTTTTTGATATTCAGATATAAGGCTAGAGCACCAACCCTGGTAAATCGCTTTGCTCGATGAGGCCATGGTCGCACAAACAAAAATTTTCTCGAACCTCATATAAATTTAACTTCACTAGGTCAATTGATTGCGTGCTACGAAAACATTAAGCATGTATTTGCGTTTGCTGACGTCATTTTGTTGTGTTTTACCGTTTTTGCTGGGGGGGAGATAGCTCAATTGGTCATTACGGGGGAGAGATTGCTCAATTGATCCAAAATGACAATTAAACCAGCTCATAAAAACTTAATTATAAAGTCACATGATTGATGACTGAAACTTCTAATCATTTGTAAGAAAATGATTCACTCCATATTTTAATTTGAACTGATGTATAGAAGATAACCAATCGGCCGAAACTACTTTGCCGAATAGACCTTTCAAGCGAAAAAAAATTATACAAAATCTTAGCTATGAACTTTACAAACAGAGAAAAAATCAAAATTACTATCAATTTTTGTTATGAAGACTTGGATGTGCATTAAAATCATGCTATGGAAACAAACCGCCAGATTATAGACCACCGAAACTGAACGTTTTGAAGAAAAAAAACTGCAATATCATTAACATCAACTACTAACCCAGTAGTTTAATTCAAATTTTCAAGAAACTGAGCATGTCAGCACGTTAATGCAGTTCACCCGATGTTGCCAATTTTTCGTATGATATATAGCATCACGTTTAAGCTCTTAGCATTTCAAAACTTGTTAATAATTGGTACCTTTAAAAGTTATCCCATTTCGCGAAAACTGGATCAATAGGCAAAACTCATGCAGATTTTTAGCTACCTTTATGCTATTGCTGTTCGATAGAGGATTTTGCCTTCCTTAAAATGAATGAGCTTAACTTGAAAACAAATCTAAGTCTAACAGCGTAAAATCAAATTTGAGCGCGAAACACTAAAAATTTGCTAAAAAGCCATCCTGACCTACATAAGTGACCGTCATTTGCATTAGCCACCATACCACTTTGCCTAGATCCTAATATGAGCCATATTGCAAAAATGGTTTCAAAGTATGACACAAGATTGGCTAGCATAAATACTTGAGGCTTATTTGTCTCGCCTTTGTCTCTTAACTATTACCCTCAGACTGTTATAAGGTATCCATGGTAAAAAGGCTTCCCATAAATAATTTGGCGTTGCGTTGAACTCATAGATATTATACCTTGTCACGATGAATCAAATAAACAATAATATTTTCTTCACTTATACTGCGTGAAAAAAAAGCGGATAATTACCTCCAACAGCTCCCATTTGCTGCTGCTGCCCAGGCTGATTCGACCACATAGGGTTTCCGGGACCTCCCTTGTGTTGCATATGTTGCTGCTGCTGGTGCAACATTACCATCTGTTGCGACTGCGCAGCATTTCCCTGGCTGTACATCTGTTGACCTTGAACTTGCATTTGACCGCCACTTCCTACCATGTGCTGGCCTGGTTGAGACTGATTTTGCATGTAGTTTGGACCTGGACCATGTTGAAAATTTGACATCCCTTGCTGCGACTGTTGCTGACCTTGACTATGTTGTTGCTGCAAACCCATAGACATGGCATTTGGATTCCGTATTTGAGCAGCTTGATTCTGCTGCATTTGAACGTTAGATTGCTGAACCATCATGTTAGATTGCTGCATGCCTCCAGAAACCTGATGTTGCTGTCCAGAAATTTGCTGAAGATGCTGATTAGATACATAAATTTGTTGGTTTCCTCCAGCATTTACTATTTTCCCGCCCATTACATTAGGTTGCAATTTTACACCAGCCATACTTGCACCTTGACCGCTCACATTGAACTGCTGCGCCTGAGCTTGATTCATGGACACCACTTGAACCGGTTTTCCCATCTGGTTTTGCAGTCCAGGGTTGTTGGCTAAATTTGCCAGCTGGTTGAGCGGTTGATCTGCCGGATTACTATGAACACCGGATCCTACCATGAGAGCTTGTTGTGAATGTTGGTGCGGCTGTTGTACATGAGCGGGCATATTCATATTGTTCACACCTGGAGGTTTTTGATCCTGATTCGGCTGCGGTTGATTAGCAGCATTATTCATGCGCCACTTATTTACGACACTTTTCAGCCTGTCCGTGAACTCGTTTTGTCTGTTTGGAAACAGAAGATGCGCTTTATATTGACTTTGACTCTGACTCATAATCATCGCAAACTTCCGAATGCGCGGCGTTTCTCCTTGACGCTGAGGAGCATTAAGAGTGACGCACCCAAATACTCTTTCTTTCAAAGATAAAAGGAGAGGATCATTATCCGGCACCGGTTCTGGTCGCTCATTGTCTGGTTTGGTGAAAAATTGGCAGGCTAGTTGGAAAGCGTCACGCAAAAACTCTTCACATTCTCGAATAGCATTGACTTGCAGAAACTGAAGTTGACCTTCATTAAACCATTGATCCAAATCTGGGGGTCGGATGCTTTTTGAACTGGTTGGATCATACAAGAGGTTGAAGTTATATGCCTTTACTATTTGGTGCAAATGCGGGTAGCTTGGAAGATTATTGAACTTTACCCTTAATACCCCGCTTAAAAGCACTTGACCCATAGGCCTACTCACAGCTTGAATAGGTTGGTTTGGATTAGGCTGGTTCGGAACAACCCGCGAAATAATCGTGCTCGGTTGCGATGAAGACATTATTGAGTTATTCAAAGATGACGTAACAATTTGAGAAGTTTCAATCGGAACCATTCTTTGATTCTGAGTCATAGCCCCAGATTGTGCTACGTTATGAGTGACTGGAATGTTGTTAGGTCTCGCCGCTACCGAATTCACAACCGCGCTTAGATTGTCAGCTGTCGGTGCAACTGGGTTATTGACAACTATTGGCCTAACTTGGGTTGGCATAGTTACCTGACACACAGGAACAGCTGCAGACTGCGGAGCCTCAACAGAAGGCTGGGGGTAACTTTGACTACGAGCAGCTATTGAGGAATTATTTGAAGCAATAATTTGTACTTTTCGGGCCGGTTCATCGGTGGAAACGCTTTCTGATGCTGGCAGCGACTTTTTGAGAGTGACAGCAATAGGAATTTGAATTCCATCCAAAACTAAACCAGCAGTTTGAGAATGTTTGTCGGACAGTTTTATGTTAGATTTACTCGGAATGTTCTCAAAAACCTCCGGAAAAAATGCAGTAGCACTGGTGGAAATATTCAAGAACGAGATGGAAACTTCTGTTTCATCCTTCAGGGATTTAAATGCAGTCGTAATTTCATCAATTTGGGATTTCAAGTTTTTATCATCTTCAGATGTTTCTGCAATTTGGCTATCAAGTATAATCAACAAGTGATTCATCGCGACGTCTGTCGTCCTTCTAACAGACTGAAACTTCGAGAACAACTTTTTACACGTTTTCAATAAACCTTTCATGAATTCACAATCTATCTCATTTTCACATTCGCTTTTATCAATCTGCACTTTTGCTATTGCAGATTTGAACTCAGCGGGCGTATAGAAAATCTTTGAAACATGCACACCACTATTATAAACTTGTGATGATCCAGCGAACGTAACCAACGAGTACAGCTGTTTCTTCAACGCCGGAAGCACCGGTTTCGCTCCAACTGTTCTCGTAGACAACTCATCTATGAAAGGCATCAAGACATGTTTGCAAATCACATCAAACTCTGTACTGATTCTGGCAGAGTTTTCAATAGCAACAATCAAGCTCGATTGCTTTTTTGCTTCTTCGTTGACAATCATGACATTCTAAAACAGCGAGACTCTTTATATATTACCGAAAAACGCTTTTACACGATAATAAAACTTCAAAGATTCTGTTTCTTACCATTGTTCCCTACAATTGTGCTAAATTTTTTGGAAATCAATCATATGCACCAACGGAATTTCAAAACAACTTTCTAACATAGTAACCTTCATTGCTTAACCTTCATGGAAAATTTGTGTCGTGGAAACTGAGCCGACCATAAGAAATAAGATCGGATTTTGACGAGGCAGAAAGAACAGGCAAATAAACTGTTCTCGGTCAGATTCGCAACCTATGGCTTTCAGTTCCATGATACATGGGCGTTACTTCTGCGCCAAACAAGCAAATAACCAACTTGTAATTGATTTGCAAATAAAACAAAGAAGAGTCTTATCTAAAAAGTTTCTAACGAGGAGCCTTGTTTCAGCTGAAAAAACCTTGCAAATTGCAAAGATAAATAATATCGAAATATAGGCCAAAAAATCCTATGAAAAAAGTTATCGAACAACAAAACTCGGAAATTAGGACATTTATTACCTGAGCCAGGAACTAAAAACTGGTTTTGATTATAAAGCGAGACGAGTTCAAACGGCACAATTATAAAAACGAAAATTACGCCAGACCAAATTCCAGTATGTTACTTTATAATCGACACAAAAGAGGCGAAAACAAGGAGAAGAAGTGAGCACTCGCATCAATCTATACACAGCTAAAATATTCGATGCAACTCAACCACAGCATGGCAAAACGGCCGGCAGAAAATAAGACTAAAACCCCATAATCCAAAAACTTTTTTCGAAAAATAAAACATCCAAAAACCTGATCTTCCTCAATTGTCATCATAAATTTCACATACGTTAGTTTTTATCAAAAATTAGTTCGACCCTTGAAACGACGGAAATGACAATTCAGACTAAACAAATATCACCAGCCGATGGCTGTTATCCTACCCAGTAGCGGATTTATGGTGGGGGGCGGACGCCCCCCCCCCTCCCCCCCTCAGGGATTCGACCCTCTGCCGACCCAAAGAGTCCCCCCTTTTACACTGTTTTGAGATATCTACTTATGATGACGGACCCTAAAATTTTTTGAAAGGTACCTTTGGCGCCAATAAAAACTAATTTTGAGGGGAAGCGCGCGCCGAAAAAATGCGATTTTTTAGGGTCAAAAATTTTCAAAAAGTGCCTACAAACGCCTAAAAAAGGTCGACAAATGTTCATTTTTTTTTGAAAATTCGTCTCCCTCGAGAAATTCTTAGATCCGCGCCTGATACTGGGTCAACTTTTTGAAAATTTAGCATCACGTCTGAAAGGGCTTCAAAATGTCACTCCACCCATTCCGATGATTATTTGTGGCACCGACTTTGCGTGGAAAAAAAAACTAAAACAAACCCGAATACAATGTTCCTACTGCTATTGTAAGCCTGCTCGCTCGCTTTATTCGCTCGAATTAATACTCAAAATCAAAAGTTTTAAACCTGTTTTTCTCAATACTGAGCAGTAGCAGATTTAATTGGGGGGCGGGCGTCCGCCCCCCCCCCCTCAGGGATTGGTCCCCCTGCCGACCCAAAGGGTCCCCCTTTACACTATTTTGAGATATCCGATTTTGGTTGACTGACCTTAAAATTTTTCTAAAGGCGCCAATCTATACTAATTTTGAGTGGGGAGATCGCGCCGAAAAAACGCGATTTTTTGGTCGAAATTTTCCAAAGAAAGCCTAAAAACGCCTTTTTTTTCAAAATTTGACTGCGGCGCTGAAAATTTTTTCAAATTAGGGTCTTCATAGTGGTTTGGGAGAGCTCAAAAAATCGATTTGAAAAAAAAGTCGTCAAAACTTTCAAAACTTCCTTGAAAATCCGCCCCCCCCCCCCCCGCGAGAAATTCCTAGATCCGCGCCTGATCCTACCTACAAGGACAATTCACATACTAGGAAGGACGTTTCACATTCTTTTAAAGTTTTGACAGACTTTTTGATAAGATATTATTGCTTCAGTATATTTTTCAGTTTTCATATTGCCCAGCGTATATGATTTTTTACAAAGAACACATCTGAACTCGTGTTCAGTTGTTGATTTAGCAACCCACAAATTAAATTCACCATCTTGAAGCCAGTCTTCATTGAACTTACATCTTCCCTTGACTGAACGTTCGCGACTGATACCCCTGAAAAAATTACAGTTCAACGCTTAAAATACAATTGAATTTAGACTTTGGAGTAAAAACTTAGGCCAGCAACGCTTTCACGCTCCTGGCCCTGACCCAACTTTGCTCGCCCTAACATTGCCCTGACCGCGTGTCAACCCTGCTTTATTGTAAAAAAAAAACAGAAGTTATACCAAAATCAATTTAAAATTTTGCGACTAACATGATAAACTCGAATAAGCCGGGAAATTAAAATGCACAATTCGTCAAAAAAAACTAGATAATTGCAGGTTTCTTAGAAAAGTAATTCGGGAAAATCTTAACTGATTTGATAATGGTGGCCGAGTTGAGACTGCGGGTATCCTCGAAAATGCCGACTGATAATGCTTCAACGGAAATTCATCGATTTTTATGGATCACATTAATAACGAGAAGCTTCCCAGAGAAGTTTGTCCCCGATTACCAAAACTTTCCTTCGTCAACTATATGCATCTTAACAATTATTTGATATCTCCATTCAAAATGGTAAAACAAAATTACCTCAGACACAGAGAAGCAGTTGCACTTCGCATTCACAAGCAAAAATATGACTGATGACGCTACTGGTAAAAACCGAATGGGTAAAACTTTGAGTCTTCAAAACTTCTTAGGTGATGCAAGCTATTTATGAGTCTACACAATTGGTAAGTGACGCAAGCCAAATATGACGCATCAGCAGTACCAGTCAACTTGAAAAAAAAAGAAATTTACCAACTAACATGCCTCAATTTATAGAGCTCACGCGTTTTATCTAGTACATGAAAAAGTTCATTGAAAACATCCGACCCTGCCCAGGTGCGAACCTTCTTATTTGGTTGCGGGTCTTCTTCCCTACCTCTACGCAACAAATCCATGATACCTTGAGCTAAAGCGCTATTTGTAATATAATAGTATGTGTTAATATCCTCAGCAGTGGCTGTACTTAATAGCTGGTTATAGATCAAAACGAACACTTTCAAATGAACATTAACATTTGCGACTTAGATTGAAAAAAAAGAGAGTTCATAGAATCACACAAGCATTGCTTGTGTAAAAAAGTAAGATGCCAAAAAGCAGACAAACGAGAGTCTGACAATTCAAGTTTTCCCGAAAAATCCAAACTCAATAGATACAGAAAAAACAAGATCGGCCGAAATAAAGTAAAGATAGGTTGGAATGAAAATCTGAAGCAGTTTAGTCACATCACACCTTTGAATACCACACAATCCGAACATGGTAAGCTAGCAGACAGAAAAAAGTTAAACACGGGATCGAACACAAAAAAAAATCAATGAGCCCATAAGATATCAATTGTGATGAGACTTTCGGTGATGAGGCAAAAGATACTTTCCTGGTAGATTTGCGACTTTTTATGACAAAATGCCAACCGTTAACAATTTTTCCCAGTAAAAAGGCTATTGCATTTCTGGACATCTACATGACAAATAAATAAAGTAAAGATAGGTTGGAATGAAAATCTGAAGCAGTTTAGTCGCATCACACCTTTGAATACCACACAATCCGAACATGGTAAGCTAGCAGACAGAAAAAAGTTAAACACGGGATCGAACACAAAAAAAATCAATGAGCCCATAAGATATCAATTGTGATGAGACTTTCGGTGATGAGGCAAAAGATACTTTCCTGGTAGATTTGCGACTTTTTATGACAAAATGCCAACCGTTAACAATTTTTCCCAGTAAAAAGGCTATTGCATTTCTGGACATCTACATGACAAATAAATAAAGTAAAGATAGGTTGGAATGAAAATCTGAAGCAGTTTAGTCACATCACACCTTTGAATACCACACAATCCGAACATGGTAAGCTAGCAGACAGAAAAAAGTTAAACACGGGATCGAACACAAAAAAAAATCAATGAGCCCATAAGATATCAATTGTGATGAGACTTTCGGTGATGAGGCAAAAGATACTTTCCTGGTAGATTTGCGACTTTTTATGACAAAATGCCAACCGTTAACAATTTTTCCCAGTAAAAAGGCTATTGCATTTCTGGACATCTACATGACAAATAAATAAAGTAAAGATAGGTTGGAATGAAAATCTGAAGCAGTTTAGTCGCATCACACCTTTGAATACCACACAATCCGAACATGGTAAGCTAGCAGACAGAAAAAAGTTAAACACGGGATCGAACACAAAAAAAATCAATGAGCCCATAAGATATCAATTGTGATGAGACTTTCGGTGATGAGGCAAAAGATACTTTCCTGGTAGATTTGCGACTTTTTATGACAAAATGCCAACCGTTAACAATTTTTCCCAGTAAAAAGGCTATTGCATTTCTGGACATCTACATGACAAATAAATAAAGTAAAGATAGGTTGGAATGAAAATCTGAAGCAGTTTAGTCGCATCACACCTTTGAATACCACACAATCCGAACATGGTAAGCTAGCAGACAGAAAAAAGTTAAACACGGGATCGAACACAAAAAAAAATCAATGAGCCCATAAGATATCAATTGTGATGAGACTTTCGGTGATGAGGCAAAAGATACTTTCCTGGTAGATTTGCGACTTTTTATGACAAAATGCCAACCGTTAACAATTTTTCCCAGTAAAAAGGCTATTGTATTTCTGGACATCTACATGACAAATAAATAAAGTAAAGATAGGTTGGAATGAAAATCTGAAGCAGTTTAGTCACATCACACCTTTGAATACCACACAATCCGAACATGGTAAGCTAGCAGACAGAAAAAAGTTAAACACGGGATCGAACACAAAAAAAAATCAATGAGCCCATAAGATATCAATTGTGATGAGACTTTCGGTGATGAGGCAAAAGATACTTTCCTGGTAGATTTGCGACTTTTTATGACAAAATGCCAACCGTTAACAATTTTTCCCAGTAAAAAGGCTATTGCATTTCTGGACATCTACATGACAAATAAATAAAGTAAAGATAGGTTGGAATGAAAATCTGAAGCAGTTTAGTCGCATCACACCTTTGAATACCACACAATCCGAACATGGTAAGCTAGCAGACAGAAAAAAGTTAAACACGGGATCGAACACAAAAAAAATCAATGAGCCCATAAGATATCAATTGTGATGAGACTTTCGGTGATGAGGCAAAAGATACTTTCCTGGTAGATTTGCGACTTTTTATGACAAAATGCCAACCGTTAACAATTTTTCCCAGTAAAAATGCTATTGCATTTCTGGACATCTACATGACAAATAAATAAAGTAAAGATAGGTTGGAATGAAAATCTGAAGCAGTTTAGTCGCATCACACCTTTGAATACCACACAATCCGAACATGGTAAGCTAGCAGACAGAAAAAAGTTATTCCACACAGAGGCGAAGCTTCGCTTCTCAAACACTAGCGAGAACATGACAAAAAGCAGCACTAGAATTGCAATACGAAAAAATAGAAACAAGACTCAAACTGCGACCTACTGCAGTCAAGAGATTTTGAGTCTCACGCACTAACCACGCACGCTTAAGCACCGACAAACACTAGTCACGAATAAAGCAGCTACACATGCTAATAAATTGCCAATGCAATTCAGCAAAAGTGGCACCAAATACAAACAGGCACAATTTTGCTGAAAACAATTTGGACTAATAATGAATTTCAAAAAGTTGCGAGATACTTTAAGAAAGAAAATTTTGGAAATCTAGTTTTTATTAATGTTATGTTGTTTGAAGCTTTTTTCGGTTTCATTTGATGAATTAAAAATGCATCAACGTGTTAAATTATTACTATTCCAATGTCAAAGCAAATGCTATCAAAAAGCTGTAAATGTACCCCAAAGCGGCACCAATATTTGCGACTTCGGTTAGAGAAGAAGAAGACTCGTAAGAATACACTAAGCTCAGGCTAGTGTAATAAACATCAATAATTCCATTAAGTTTTTACGTGAACTTTCTTCCGATCAAGGATAGAGATTAAGAGTCTCACAACCTCCAACCTCCGCCATGAGCTTTTGCATTTAAACAAGCACGAGCCACTAAGAAGGCGGATATCAAAACCATGCTATACAGCAAGAGAGAAGTTTTAATGTTTGGGTTGAAGACTTGGGTTACAAAAAAATGGATTCGTAGTATAACACTAAGCTCGCTAGCTCTCTTGTGATTTTAAAAAAGTAAATGTAGTATAGCACTAAGCTCGCCGTAAAAACATTTAGCAACAAGATAATTCGTAATTCTTGGTTTTCTAAGTTTTTTTAAGACATAACTAGTTGTATAAAGTATATTTTCCTGCAAGTATACACAATCTTCAGACTAAAAATTACTAAAATATTAAAATATCTGGAATACTAAAATAGAGTAAAATATTACAAAAATATCTGAAATATTTATTTCAAATTTGGCAATATACGAAGCATAGCTTCGCAACACTTGCGATGCATCACACGTTAAATTAGCACGGAAAAATATCAAGTAGCAACTAGTCAGACAATACTTGGAAATATAATAACGGAAATTAACAACATCTTGAAATACAATTACCTGCAACTTTACAAATGTTAGATACGGCCCACTAAAAAGTTCATTGTTTGGAAAGTAAGGCAAAAAAAATCAGCAGACAACCGGTGATCCGACAGTTGAAACTTTTCTTGAAAAAATCAAACTCCAGATGTAAAAAAAAACAAGATCAAACCAGGAGTCATATCACAGACCTTAGGCTCCCACGGTACGCAACTTTACCACTATACCAAGGATTTGGAAATTAGCGAGGTTTCGTAATAAAACAAGGTCGATTTTTCATTTATTTGTGAGAAGTTGTTTAGAGGGGAAAGTCTAGTTCTGGATTGATGCCACTTGCTGATTGATGAATAAGTGGGAAAACACACTTCATGTATATTATAACCTGAGATTGGCAAAGGGAGGACGTATGAGCTATGGCTTAGCTACAACATAAATTACATGGAAGTGTATTTAATTCCAGACATTTAGAAGTCTCCCCCATTTCTGTTTCTTAACACTATGTTAGTATTTACAAAAATGATAGTGTAATGTCGTTGACAGGATAGACTGTAAATGACAGATAGTTAGCTCTCAAACACCGGTGTGCGCATGAAGAAACGCTCGTGTGGCAGTGCGTATCTTTTGGGATAAAAAGTTCTGTCTTTTGGGTAGTGTATGAAGTTGCATAGATGTCCAGTGTACAAGTCAGCGAATCGACTAAGTCGTCTGAAGAAATAGCTAGGGTTATTGTGACATCTGAAAATTGACCCAAATTTAGGATGCATCATGTCTTTGATCTCTTCTTTCAGCTGGTCTCGCTCCACTTTCCAACTTTCTCTCGCCGCCCGAATATTCTCGTGATTTTTTGACACTTGTAGCCTCTCGATCAAATTTTCCAGACTACACTTCAGTGCTAACTTTGATCGAAATTCTTCATTATTGTAAATTTCAATTTCATCTCTAAGCTCTGAGATTATAGCGCCAGTTCGCCATCCGTTTCTCAATGCGGGTTCGGCTAGATCGCCATAAACGTGGTCACCGAAATAAAGAACATTTCTTCCAGTCCAACCTGTCATTTCCGTGAAACTATTTAGATTTCCTTGGAAGTAAACTGACCCTTTTTCCAGTTTTGTTATTTTCGTCCAGTCCGACTTATTTGCATCGGACAAGTTAAGTCGCCTGAAAGGTCGCACTTTTTCACTGGCTGAAAAAAACTTGGGTTTTCTAGCGCTGCAGATCACGACATCGAATAAATCCCTCCAATCTTTGCCAATTAGGTACTTCATGCCTGCATCAACAAAGTAAAACTCGCTATTAGTCATCAGAAATAGCTTTCGGCCCGTGATTTGTAGCTCGTTCAGCATGTATGGTAGATACTTTCTTGTGAAATCTGCGTCTACGTATTGTTCTACATCTTGTGCAACTGCTTGATGCATACCACCACTGTTGTGAACATAGGATACTGCCGCTTGTACATCATCGTAAAGATATTCAGGAGCATACTCCATTCGCATATCAATGAACAATTGTTGGATGTCAACCAGAAGCGCTATTTGTGAGGATGCAAACAAATCAGTGAGCTGTCTCATTTTTTGTACACCTTCAGCACCACCATGGAACCCACTCATGTGATCAAACCTAACGTGGAAGCCATCGTAATGACTCAGAACTTCCTCTCTTGATAATCTGCGATGACCTTTGTAAACAGTGTTTGGTTGTATTTTGTGAAATGCGTCAATTTTCAAGATGAGACCCAATTGAGTATCATAGTGCAGGCCAGTACGCACCGCTTTTGAATCGTACTTCAAATTCAAAATTTCTTTAGGATAGCCTTTACCATGAACCAGTTTTTCGGCAATTAGACGATAGATTAGACTATTCATTTCTGATGTGTACTTGGCTATTGTGTAATCGTAATCGAACCCCCATATTTGAATATCCCGGAGAGAAATTTCATTGTTGGCAAAAACTGCTCCCTCAAAAACACCGGAGACACGACTGTTTTCATTAGCAACTTTTATAGCATGGCTGTACAAGTCTTCTGGATTAGTTGCACTATCTATTTGACCTGTGCTTATGGGCCGTCTAACTTGCAGCGCTCTATAAAAACTAAATGGAGAGGCAAAATTCAAAAGTTTACTTCTTGTCATCTGAATAGATAATAATTCGAAGAGTTACTCGTAATAAACTGATTTAATCTGTACAATTATACAAATATCTGAAAACATTTGGATCTTGATATTACAACGTCAATTGAAAAGAAACCAGTTTTTATAAGCAGTTCTTCAGCTCGTCTATTTTTGGTTGGAGCAAGTGCATGGATCCTATAATGATGCGCTTAAACGGTGGTTTGAGCTTGAAAAAACTGGAGTGGCTCCGGAAATTCAAATCTAAACAATTGGACATAGCCAATTTTAGACAGCGAAGTTTCAGACTTGAATTTAAGACTCGAATCACCGGACGAAAAAAGATTCAACGCCTTCCAAGATAGATTTGGCTCCCAATGGTTGACTGTCATTGTGTGCAAATAACTCATTGTCTGCAGAGACTAAAACTATAGAACCAACAACTCAGAATCTCGATAGGACTTAAATAAGGCTCTAAAATTTGCGAACGGTATAAAAGCGTAAGCGGAAAAGAAGTTACCGAAGATGGTTGGCATGTCCTTTCTCGCATCAGTGCAGGGGGATTCTCTAGACATTCAAACCTGAATGCCCTAATAAAGCAGAACTTTTCTTTTCACATTCCTTGATTAGAGCCACGACGTCTTTACAGGGCCATTCAGAAGCGACCAGGCGGTTTGACGCTCGTTCCATGGGCTGTTGGTATGCAGCTCTTGTGAGATGTAACGGTGGTAGACTCCCTAGCCTCCAGTAGGATTATTGCGGGGTCGGTTTGTAACCTTACTGCCGCTGAAGCAAAACAGCAAAAAATAACATAAATAAAGGCTTAATTGATGGATATCTTTTTCAACCGCTAGCTTTTGAGATTCAGGGCGCTGCCGGCCCCAGCACGGAAGTTGTTTTAAAGCAAGCTTTGCAAGAACCTAAGCATATGTACCCAGGATCCCAGGGCAGGCAGCTTTTTAAAACAGAGAATATCCCTGGCAGTACAGATTGCGAACGACGCATGTGTAATCGGCACAAGATTTGACAAACAACTTTCAACTCAACTTTTTTTTAGTAGCACAATATACATTTATATATATTTTCTCGTGTCGAGTTGCGGGTTCCTTTTGAAAAAACGAAACCCTTATGCAGTTTAATAATCAACACTAATCATTTTCTTTTTATCAGAATCACTTCCTTATCTAGAAAAATTCCAAGGGCTTTGACAGACATATGTGATGAAGGGACTACTGACTGTAACCTCGGTTACTATGATACTTTTGACCTTCTGGTTACCCACAAAAAAAAGATATACAGAAAAAAATGAAAGGTCATCCACTTAATGTGCAAAAAAAATAAACAAACTTTATATCGAAGAAAAATTTGCGTCAAATAAAAACACGAGCGACTCATTGGAGCATGTGCTGCTTTCTAAGTTATAACATGGCATTCTAATTGACGCCTGAAAAATTATAAGCATGGAGAAAAAACTAAAGTTAAAACTATGGCTCGCAATAAGAACACGCAACTCGGATAAGGGCTTATCCGAGTTGCGTGTTCTTATTGAAGAAACGTAACCCGTATCGATTTTAATTGAAAAGGACTTAAACACTTGTCATCTTCTTTTATCATTATCACTTCCATATCTAGAAAATTCCAAGGATTTTGACTGAAATACATGATGAAGGGACTCATGACTGTAACCTCGGTTACTATGATACTTTTGACCGTCTGATAAACTACGGCCCCAGCTTAAACTGAAGGTACTGTTTTTTAGAATATAACCTGACGCAGGATCAAAATTTCAAAAATTGGACTTTACACAAATCTTAACAGTATCTCTAGACTAAAATAAGGGCTTATCCGCTGACATAGGGGAGAGGCCTCCTCCCCTTTCTTCAAATTAAACTTAACGTCAAATTAGACAGTCGTTTTTTAACAAAAAAAATTGAAAAATCAAATGGTAACAAGGATAGCCGGTTACTGTGCAAGTAGCACAACATATTCCGACCTTAGTCTAAAAATACACAAAAAAATGTTTTTTTTTCGAATTAGTGTCGTTAACATCTGCGTGGTGGGATAAAATGATCTGATCGAAAAACTGGTAAATAGAAATATTCGACAGTTGTGACATTCGACCAGAATTGACAAAAAGACAGATACGAAGGGCTAGCAGCTAACCTTCCGAATTAGCAGTTTTAGAGGATTAACAGTGTTATTCAGACGATTAGAAAAATTGTGAAGGCTGAAAGATTCGGAAATTCTTAAATTTTGAAAATTCGAATTGTGGCGTCACACTTCTGAGAAACGTCAACAACGGCCATTTGTGCCAGTCGGTCATATCTGGAAGTTTGACCTTGAGGAATGCGAAATACGTGGTTTTGGAAGGAAGTTTAATTTTTCAAAAATTCGAATTGAGCCTGTCATGCTCAGTTTTCTCGCGACAACTGAAAACATCAAAAATAAAATCAGAACAACCGAATTACAATTGCTGGAAAGTTGTCAAATAAACACAGTGGGAAATTGCTATTCGCAATTTCCGTCGTAGAAAACGAGAGTAGAGCTGTCCTATCTGATATAGGAGACAGAACAATCACAAGAGCAAACCAAAACTCAACTGAACCAGAGTTAACCTTCAATGGAAAGGTAGACAACTGAAGTCTCCCAATGGCTCAGATCCAAAACTACCTTCTCAAGTTAAAACTCATTTCCTTTGATTGGAACTCATTGTTAGAAATTTTCTTGAGTTATATTCAATTATATTCATGCTAGAATTAATAATTAGCTTAATTACTCTGTTTCTCAAGTGTGCTGCTATGTAAGTACCTAATTTAATTTTCCCGAGTGCATTTTATGATAAGTATGTTGAGGTAAGGCGAGTTTTCGGTTGATCCATCTGAAATGGATCGAAGTTCCACTGTCCAATAAAAAGTAACTTAACGGATTGTTCCGACCCTGTTTATGTTCGTGTATTTTGGGTATTTTGAGACCTAAGTATGGGGACGTTCTTATTTTCTAGAGTGATGGCACATGCATTGATAGGTGTGACAAACAAGTATGGCAATCTGGTAATGTGCTACGTGGATGACGTGGTAATAGCGACGCCAACACTGGAAGATCACATCGAGCGACTGGAGAGTTGTTTGCATGCATGAAGAGGTCGGGGCTAAAGTGCAAACCATCAAAATGCGAGATACTCAAGGATTCGAAAAAATACTTGGGGTGGATGGTGAACAGGCACGGCATCAGACCAGATCCAGATGCAGTTGAAGCAGTCCTAACTTGGAAATCGCCAAAAACGGAACACCAGTTGATGAGCTTCCTGGGTTTTGCGAACTTTTACAGGGAATTCATCAAGGGCTACGCGGATAAGGTATACCCGATGCAACAGTTAATGAGACACAAAGGCAAGAAGTTCACGTGGAACAACGCAGCTGAAGAATCATTCCAGAGAATAAAGAAAGAGTTGTGCGAGGCACCGGTGTTAGGGATGCCAACAGAGAAAGGGATGTACGTGCTGGACACGGATGGTACAGGACAAGTCAAGGAAACAACCAGCACGGAATCCAAGCAACAAGAGAGGACGGGGGTGTTCTCAAGTTGGTCAAACGGGTATCGTTAAAATCCACATTACATTTTAGGAGATAAGTGTAAAATTGGATAAGCGGAACCCCACTGTTTTGAGGAAGTTTTTACTCAAACAGGCCTGGAAACAGGTTCCACGGTTTTCTCTCGAGAGGTTTAGCACCCGGCGCTCAAGGTAATTTTCGGCTTAAGAGGGGGGCTAAAGAGGGGGGAGGTTAGAAGGGGGGCTGGTTAGGTTAGAGGTTGGTGGTTGTAAAGTGGAAAAAGGGGGGACACATTAGAGTAACTAATTGATCGGCATCGTCGATTTAGTTACGTTAGATTCTTACACGCGTTGATTATAAGAAGCGGATATCCAAATTTAACATCGAATTAAGGTAGGTACCCTGGTCGGATCGGGAGGCGGGAACGGACATAGACAGTTTTTGTGATACCCCCATAAGATCGCTAGCAGGGGGGAGAAAAACGCGTGGCAATCGGGTACCAGACGTTTTTTCGGATAAAAGTTGACATCTGTCAGCTTTGAATTTTAGGTGGGTTCATCTCTCTGTTTTTATAATTTTTTCCTGTTTAAATTTTTACGTTTTGGTGAGAATTTGTTATTGGTATTTGAACGAACAGGTGATCACAAGATACCTGCGAAGAAGTTGGGGCTTCAAATTGCCTGAAACAACGAAAGGGAGATAAATACAGGGGGGTTAGTATTTAAATTTGGGCCATTAAGATAGGGATTTTGGGAAAAGTTTTACTAGAGCTCAAGTGGTGGTACACGGTACAGTGGTTCAAGAGTCCCCACAACGAAGAGGAAGAGATCCTACTATCCAGACACTTCGTGACAAGTCTTGGGACAGTACCGAAGAAGTCTTGGGACATTGCAGTCTGGGGACGGTCTTGGAGCAGTGCAGTCTTGGGATAGTCTTGGGACAGTGCAGTCTTGGGACAGTCTTGGGACGGTGCAGCCTTGGGACAGTCTTGGGCCAGAGCAGTCTTGGTACGGTCTTGGGACAATAAATCTTGGGACACTGGTCTTGGAAGAGTGGTCTTGGGACAGTAGTCTTGGGACAGTGGTCTTGGGACAGTGGTCTTGGGACAGTGGTCTTGGACAGTGGTCTTGAGATAGTGGTCTTGGGACAGTGGTCTTGGGACACTAGTCTTGGGACAGTAGTCTTGGGACAATAGTCTTGGGACACTAGTCTTGGGACAGTAGTCTTGGGACAGTAGTCTGGGGACAGTAGTCTTGGGTCACTAGTCCTGGGACAGTAGTCTTGGGACAGTAGTCTTGGGACAGTAGTTTTAGGGCAAGGGTCTGGGGACAGTAGTCTTGGGACAGTAGTCTTGGGACACTAGTCTTGGGACAGTAGTCTTGGGACAGTAGTCTCGGGACAGTCGTCTTAGGGCAAGGGTCTTGGGACACGAACAAGAAGTACTGGGACAGCACCGAATAGTCTTGGGACAGTAGAGAGAAAGCTTGGGACAGCACGAAGAAGTGGGGTGACGGTACTAAAGGGTCTTAAGACAGGT